ACTTTGTGTCATGTTGGTTCATCATATCTCCTCTTCTTATTTTTGTAAGTGCCACCTTATTTTATGTCATTTTTAAATAATTGGTGTACAATATCATTATGATTGCAGCATAGATATTTACACTTGATTTGTTTGATTGCATATAAAAATATGAGTTACCTTTTAAAGTCGGTTTGATTTGCTTGCCGTAACGTGCGTTTTCACTTGCAGCAATCATGTGACTAAAGCCTTTTTTCCACCAGACAAACTTATTCGCGCAAATCAAAAGTGTCGGTTAGTGTGCATGCGCATTCACATTTATTATCAGAGTTTTTCATGTTTAATTTTAAAATTCATTTGTAATTTTCTTTCATTACCAAGACCATTTTTGTGTTCCTCTTTATTCAAAGTGTTTGTTTTGTGTTTATGTTTTGTTTGATTTTCTAATTTATTTTTCTAATTCATTTAATATTTCTGTCTTGTCTTTACCCAGACTGTCTTTGTGTTCAACCTATTCATTGTGTTTAATTTTGTGTATATTTTTAAATTAAATTAATAATTAATTTAATTTTCTTCCTTTAACCAGGCTATCTTTGTGCTCAAACGTATTCACTGTGTTTAATTTGTGTTTATTTTTCTAATTCATATAATATTTCTTTCTTCATTCAGGCTATCTTTGTGTTCAGCTTTATCCAATATGAAGTTGTTACCTACGGTGACTACAATTATCCAGGATGGGCAGAGTTCCTAGGCTGGTTCATAGCAATGCTCTCAATGATCTGGATTCCTGTCGGCATCGTGTATGCATTTGCCTCTGCCGAAGGTTCTTTTACAGAGGTATGTTCTAGCCTTTTATCCTATGCCTAAAATACTCAATTATAATACTGCAGTTTTGTGTGTAATATAATCAGTTGGATATCTAGGGGGGTTACACGGGGGCACATGCCACATAAAAAATTTCAGTGCCCCCTCAACTGATCATTGAGTGATACTGCATATATAATGTATTATGCCAGCGAGTCCTCTGTTTCAAACATCCATGAAACACATACTCAGCTCCTGGAGGGAAAATTACATTGGTACCCATTTATACTCCTGAGTGGAGAGAGTGCATTTACAAGGTATGTTTGCTGGTAGCCTTTGGGTGGCAATGGGCCAAGTGACAAGCGACAGGGACATGGTAGCAACGTGACTAGACTAGATTTATACACATCTGATTCCTGATTGGCTAATCTAATCAATCATTACTTTTTTTTCTCTTATTCCCACCAGCGTCTTGTCCTCATCTGCAAGTCGCCAATATCTGAGGCAACCTATGGATATCGTTTCCAGGACGACTCCACAACCTACCGTAGAGCTTACTTCGATAGAGGGAGTCGGGAAGACATTTTCATGTCGCACTACAAAAAACATAACATTTAAGGAAAAAATTCAGCCTTATATTAGATGGTTAATTCTACAGGTTGAAAACATAGTAACGTTTTGCCTCTTGCAACAACAGGGCTTGATCACCAACAAATTATGAAGTGTAGGTATTGATTCATCATTGCATAACTTTTATGCATGCGGTCCTAGTCTAGCCCTTTTGAAAGAGAGCATTGTCTACGGCCAAAATAGTGAGAGAATCCATTTGGATCAGAAAAGCCAAGAACACCATAATCAGATAATGACTGATGTAAGTAACAGACTGAGCAATGGTGTATCAACATGTCCTGCATGTCCTGTTAGTTAGTGATCAAGGCTTGCTGAATTAATGAACATATTGAAATTAATGAGGTAAACAATAATTAATACAAGGCTGTTTTCACATATTTCATCTGCATCTTGGCAGTTTAAATCCAGATTTTTGATTTAGGTCGTGTTACCAGCTCTCTTAAATAAATATGTTATTGTTTTATTCATGAGAAACATCCTGGTGCTTCAATTGAATTGAACCCAAGACCTTGACACTGAAAGGCAAGCACCACAAAATTATGGTACCTCTAGAGTGTGTCTTTCTGTGTACTCAGATTTTGACATTTGTCAATATTTATACTTGTAACTAACTTAAGCGAAAACTGTATAGTTTTAACAATTTATTTTTATAACGGATAATGTTTGATTTTTATATCATAGATAATGGCCACATTTGATTGGTAGATTTTGTTGATAATTTTTTTCACTCAGCTGGTTTTGTTAAATAGACTTTATTTAAGGATTTAAATTAACAAAAACCAGAATGTGTTGATTTGCAATAAGTGTTGTACGTGACCAAAACAAATGTAGCCAACAAATTAGTGAAAACATAAAGTAAAACAAGAGTAATGCAAGCTATTAGGCATTACTGTAAATGAATATGCTTGTTTACGATAACAGCCTAGTGCTACACCTCAAGAAAACCTTGGCTAGCCTGTACTGTAGTATGCACATAGCTGTTTTGATTTGCTGAGTATTTTTATTAGTTTTCCTTTCCATTTGTTAAGTATGATTTTCAAAGTATGCAGGTAGGCATGGTTTAACCAAGATAGATTAAGTACTTCCTTTGTTAAATTTCAATCGATGATCATGGTAGATATGGTTTAACTAAGTAATTCCAATTGATCATGAGTTAGTCGTGGTTTAACAAAGTAAGACAAGTTTAAGACTTGCTGTTGTTAACTTCCAATCGATAATCATGGTGATGTGTATAAGAGACAGACCTACCGTAGAGCTTACTTCGATAGAGGGAGTCGGGAAGACATTTTCATGTCGCACTACAAAAAACATAACATTTAAGGAAAAAATTCAGCCTTATATTAGATGGTTAATTCTACAGGTTGAAAACATAGTAACGTTTTGCCTCTTGCAACAACGGGGCTTGATCATCAACAAATTATGAAGTGTAGGTATTGATTCATCATTGCATAACTTTTATGCATGCGGTCCTAGTCTAGCCCTTTTGAAAGAGAGCATTGTCTACGGCCAAAATAGTGAGAGAATCCATTTGGATCAGAAAAGCCAAAACACCATAATCAGATAATGACTGATGTAAGTAACAGACTGAGCAATGGTGTATCAACATGTCCTGCATGTCCTGTTAGTTAGTGATCAAGGCTTGCTGAATTAATGAACATATTGAAATTAATGAGGTAAACAATAATTAATACAAGGCTGTTTTCACATATTTCATCTGCATCTTGGCAGTTTAAATCCAGATTTTTGATTTAGGTCGTGTTACCAGCTCTCTTAAATAAATATGTTATTGTTTTATTCATGAGAAACATCCTGGTGCTTCAATTGAATTGAACCCAAGACCTTGACACTGAAAGGCAAGCACCACAAAATTATGGTACCTCTAGAGTGTGTCTTTCTGTGTACTCAGATTTTGACATTTGTCAATATTTATACTTGTAACTAACTTAAGCGAAAACTGTATAGTTTTAACAATTTATTTTTATAACGGATAATGTTTGATTTTTATATCATAGATAATGGCCACATTTGATTGGTAGATTTTGTTGATAATTTTTTTCACTCAGCTGGTTTTGTTAAATAGACTTTATTTAAGGATTTAAATTAACAAAAACCAGAATGTGTTGATTTGCAATAAGTGTTGTACGTGACCAAAACAAATGTAGCCAACAAATAAGTGAAAACATAAAGTAAAACAAGAGTAATGCAAGCTATTAGGCATTACTGTAAATGAATATGCTTGTTTACGATAACAGCCTAGTGCTACAACTCAAGAAAACCTTGGCTAGCCTGTACTGTAGTATGCACATAGCTGTTTTGATTTGCTGAGTATTTTTATTAGTTTTCCTTTCCATTTGTTAAGTATGATTTTCAAAGTATGCAGGTAGGCATGAATCCATTTCCATTGTTGTCAAACAAAATTAACATAAAAACCTGGAAAAACAAAATATATAATAGATGAATGGAAAAGCAAGCACAAATCAAACAAACAAGGCTTTTAACATGAAGCCTTGACCAAGTAAACTCCCACCGTTTATCACGCCTTATAAGCAGTATTTTGAAGCTAGATGCACTGAATGTAATAATATGAACTGAATGTTGGCGTATAATGTACTGCCCTCTATCGATTTATATCTTATTGAAGTTTGGAAAGTGTCAAAACGATCTCCATTGATTAAAGTGATTGAATGACGTTTGGAAGGGAAAAGACCACGAGGTAGAAGTAAAATAGGAATGCTTGATGAACTGAAGGACAGACGACCGTATGTAGAGCTGAAGAGAAGGTGGTAGGGCCGGACCTGCAACAACTGTGTCGAATTGTCGAAAAACCGAGAAGAATTTTGTTACCGTTTTCTCCATGGTTTTGCCAGTGGCGTAACGCTCGGGCGCTAACGGGGGTGGGGGGAGCCCCCCCAGGCACGTGAGGGATCGACATTGTAGTTTAAAAAAAAATAATATAAATTATAATACCATAGTTTCATTCAATGGGGCCTCGACATTTTTAAACATTGAAATACACTAGCCTGGCTTTTATTATGCAGAAACCACATTACTCAGTTCCCAGTAACAGTTGTTCATAAATGCCATAAGCTCTGAGCGCTAGGGCGGAAGCACCCTCGGACCCCCACCAGGGGCCTTCACCCTTAGACCCTGACCGGGGGCCCTAGGCGGCCCCCTGTGTCTGTGTTTGTCCGTTCAGCTCGAATGCTCGCTTCGTTCGCTTATTATGGCCCCCAATAACAATCACTGCCAGGGCCCCATTAACTCAGTGACGCCAATGGGTTTTACCACCCAACCCAAACCATGAGTGATTCAGATCTCGAAACGGCACCGATAACGCGTTGGGTTCCTACACATTTTTTGGGTTGATCTCACCGGCCAAAGGTAATTTCCGCCGAGTTTGTTAACATTACCTGGGTGATTAATTTCTTGGAGAGTCGCTTTACCAACATGATTGATCCAAATAATAAAGCCAGGTTTATAGTCTAGACACATTTTTTTTAATACAAGTAATAAATAATATAACATATTTTTATCTATGACGTTTGTAACAATTTTCTTCATTATACGTGGTGTCCTTTGTATTTTTATGGCCACTGTTCTTGATACAAGTTTTTATTAATAATTAAAAATAAAGTTCAAACACTATTGACGAAACACAATGAACAAAACAAACCAGAGAGACAAAACCTGGCGGCACCTAAGTCGGATTATATAGGCCTATATTCAATTTATGGCCTCTTATGCGGTAGCTTGCTCATTTTCGAAACATCTCCAAGCCGTTTTCTCGTAAAGTTGTTGGTGCACAAATGATCCATGGGTTGCATTTTTGTCTTTACTTTATTGAAAATGTATTCATCGAATGATTATAACGTTAAGGAGTAGGATTAGCAAGTCTGTAAGATTAGGTTAAGAAATACTGTTTTATATATATATATATATCTTCAATATCATATAATACGACATATATATAATATATATATATAATAATTAATATAGGCCTATATATATATACACCTGTGTACCTGTCTCTTATACACATCTTACACAGTACATATAAAAGTGATCAAAGAACAATACAGGGAATAATTAAAATTCATTAAAGATATCATATAAAGAGAAATACGCTACCCGAATTAAATGTCAAGATCAATATAGGCCCTATATAGAATTATTTTTTTATAAATATTTTTCTGGGTTTTTTTTCGCGGTCCAAATTTAATTACTCTGCGGGCCAAATTTGGCCCTCGGTCCATCTATTAAGAACCATGGGCCTAGAGTAAAACAAAATAATTTACCAAAAAGCTAAAATGTTTGTTTCTAATTTTTTGTCCGTATTCACTTGAGACTTTCTTTTCTAGTTGTTTTTCGTTTTTGTCTAACACTCTGTGGATTCATCGGAGTTTACATTAGATTAACTCAAAATCAGGAATAGCACCAATCTTTAAGAATGCTTTGTTATGGAGAAACCTTGCAAAAGCGACTTTATCTCAAACAATAGATGCCCGTGAAAACAATAAGATGGTTATAAAGGTAGTAAGTCAAAAGAGATTTAACATGTGACAATGACATGGTCGTGAATGATGCTTCGATTATAGTGACGTATGGTAGCATGGCAACAGAATGTAATTCCTTGGTAACTAAACACATTAATGATAACAGCTCACTGCGCTGAAGTTTTCATTTCAGTAGAAGGACTTTCGATACGAGACCGGTCGGAACGCATAAAGAACTTTAAAACAATTATTGAAAAGGAAATAAGTGATCAAGACATATTAAATAATTTATAACAAGGTAAGAACTTATAATTATAATTTATAAATGTTGTATATATTCAAATGTTTAGGGTGGAGTTTAAAATGAGTCCTTTCATGGGTGGTCTACCAAAGAATTTTGTATTGACCCACTGCCAACGGAAAACATGCAACGTGATACAGATTTTACTGATTATTATTTTTAGTTTATTTATTATACAATAGAGTAAATTGCTTTAATAATTTGGCATTCCTTCTTCATATTGGGTAGGAGAGTGACGGTTGAAATATTTATGACAAATTGAGGCATCCAGCCTGGGTGTCAGACCCGGACTAACATTTTAGAAGTTTTTGTTTTTCTATGCGTAGGCCTATTTCCTTTTCTGCTTTCACTCGGTCTTAAATAGTTTCCTAGCTTGTAATATAAATCTCTTTATCAGTTTGTCATACCACCTTAAGTAATCCATAATTATATAAAATTTCGATTTTGACAAAACGGTTCATTCATTTAGCAATCAGTCAGATAATATTGAAATATTGAATCAGTGCGATGAGTATTTAGCGTCTTCAGCTAAAACCGTTCGGGCTAATTATTCCAATTATATTTAGGATAAAGAAATAATTTCGCTTAGAATCTCGAAAAAAAATTGCCTTTGACTTACATAATTTGAATTGTGCCATGCGTTCTTGAGTTTTGATTGCGGTTGCATAATAAAGGCCTTAAATTAAATTAAAAATATTCTATTAATAGATTTACAGATGGTTAATGGTAAATTATGGCAGAAACTCTTAGTTAATAGTTAATAGGGCCTACACACAAAACAAACTGAATGAACTTTGTTCATAGATCGTAATATTTAATTTTTAACAAAATAAATGTGGTTTTTTTTTTGTTTTTTTTTTGGTAAATTATAATTCCTAATAGATTTCTCTCTAGTTCTCATTTTAACAATTACTGTATATGGTTATTGGATTGGTTATATTTTTTTTTGTTTTGCGATTTCCGTAAAATCTGAGACAAAAATATCCTTTACAAAGCTGAGGATTAGCTCTTAAGCAACGTGCTCGCACTTAAAACAATCGATTGATATGCGTTGTTATGGTGACGCCAATAACATTAAACAGCAGCTCTGTCACGTTTCCTATACACCAGCGAAGGATGCAATTTTCCACCCCTTATCTCTTGTTAGTAAAAGAATAATCAATAAATTAAATTTTAGATTTATATATGAACGTTTTAGTAAAAATTGTGTGGTATTTTCTTAGTTATCACGCAATTTTAAACGTGTAATATTGTTTTTTGTTTCTTTTTTTCATTGTGGGTTTTCACCTGTCTTTTTGTTGGGAGAGCCTCTCGATAGTAATTAAATTTACTTTTAGGTTATTGTTTTGTATTCGTTTTATTTGTTGCCTGGAAATAATACAGTAAATGAAATGAAATGAAATTAATCATTTTGTTGGCAAGGTTCATCAACATTCATATTTGTTCTTTCTATTTTCAATTTTAGCCGATAAAATGAAAGGTTTAGCAATTATCATTCTTCTTGCCAGTTGTCTCCTGCATATGTGTGGTAAGTATTTTTTAACGGCTTATTAGGAGAAAGTCTCTTTAAGCATACAGTACTCTGTGATAAAATCTATTTAAAAAGAAAATCCTGCTCTATCAAAACAATTTTTCATTATTACTTCATTGATTTAACATTTTTTTTTCAGTTGGTCAATATTTGGACATAGATTCAGTTACAGTTTCGTCGCCATCGTACTTATCAGAAGGAATGTCTAATAGTGCCACATTTAGTATAACATTTACAACATACAATGGGGCTGACAGCATTATTGAAGGCGACATGGACGCCACCCGCTACACGCTCAAGACTTATATCTCTAACGACGGGGAGTCTGAGACGGCAGCTAGCAATGCAACACTTACCTCTTCTATGATAGCCACAGACCTTACTGATGATGTGAGCAATACATGGTCTGCAGTTAGCACCACGATTGATCTCACCAATGTCGTGTGTAGCAACAACACATACGTTTACTTCTGTGCCGAAATTGAACCTTCCCCCGGAGCAACTTGGGGTCCAGGTGTCGACTATTCTGGCAACGCCACTTGCGCTGACCTTGTTTGCAGATGTAAGTTGCTCACACTCTGTCTTTCCCTGGCAATATTTGTTGTAATATTTATAAGTTTAAATTATTATAATTAAGACATTTGCTATCACATCCTAACAATTCCAAAAGTGGTCTTGCAAATCACAAGTCATCATCGCTAGACCAGCTTCCATTATTTTAACTTTAGTCACACTCGCAAAAGTTTTCTGGGAACTACCTTTCCAAACCTCACATCCCTTATTAAATGCTACTGATGCCCGATACTATATCTCTCTGTGTCTGACTTTTTCTGGGGTGCATCGCTAAACGTTGGTGCTCCGGGATTGGCATAATATTATTCTTTTTCGTTACTACCTCAATTCATTTTTTTTTTCAAATTTAATATATTTACACACACAAAACAAATACAAAAGCAATGTTTATGATAAATGGTCTTGTTGTAATCTAGTGTGCACAACACTTCGAAAATTCGAATAGGCCTATATAAATATTGATTTTATTTTTAAATTTACTACCTGAAACTTGTTACTATATCTACACAGATGAAGTTGACGTTGGCATCACTGACTTAGAAATCACAAATCCCGATGACGGCCTTACAGTTGGTGGAGGTCAAGCCATCGATTTTGACGTCACGATCATGATCCATAACTCATCAAACGATGTGGGGGGTTACAACGTTTGGGCAATCAACGCATACCTGTCCACCTACTCGACTGGTGTCACAAAGGCTACAGAATCAGATGCCACACTGTCTTTCGCGCAACGCACATACTCCCTCTCGGCCGGTTCCAGTGTTACGTTTGAAACTGTTGCTGTGACTTTGGATCTTACAAATCTGGATTGCAACGATGGTTACTACTTCTGCGCAGAGGTCAAACCCCATTCCAGTGGTTATTGGTATGTGGCTGATTCTGGTAACCTGGACGAATTCACATGTATCTCATTCACGTGTAATTCGGCGACTTCAGTCACCGTCAGCGCACTGGTATTTCTTCTCAGCTTCAGTGTGCTTTCCCTTTAAACATTGATAAGATCGTAAGAGTTTAAAATTCTACAGTTGACTAAATAATCAATCAAGATTACAAAAAACAAAAACTCTTGAAAATACATAGATTTAAAAAAAACTCACGTTTTACAGAGGTTCGTAACATTATTTAAGCAAGAATACCAATTTCATTGTATTTAGTAGGGCCTAACTATGGTAGGCCCTACCAATTTCTTACGGTACTATCGCTAATACTTATTTAAATGCAGTTTATATATTTATAGGCAAGCCTATTTATATCAATTGATTTTTAACATGTTAGAAGGGTTCACTTTCTGTCGACATGAAATGCGTTTGCTTCAGGTACATCGACATATCATGCAAGATATAGGCCTACCTATCAATGTTTGTAAATACGTTAGACCTGGTGCAGGATTCAGAAATCCGGAATCTCGCGTTTGGTGCTCTTAGCAGTGGCGGCGCCGGGGGAGGGGGCGGAGGCGGCTTAAGCCCCCACCGGACAGAGCTTGTCGGGCAGTCAGACCATAACAAATATAAAAACAGGCCCAAACCAAACCAACACATGTCTGCCAGTCTGAGAGTGCCATTTCTGACAATCCAGAGGTTCCTATTCTTAAACAGAATCTCTTTTGGGAGGGGAACCCCTTATCAAACCTCTCCCAGCCTACAACTTAAGTCCCCCTGTCGGACAGCTTAGCGCCCCCTCCCCGAAAATATACCCTAGAGCCGCCACTGGCTCTTTGCCGAAACACAACTGAGCCTATGATGAAAATATTACGAAGCATGCAAATTAGTAATGTTTTTAGGTAAATGGTAAATCATTACTTTGAGGTGTGCACCTTAAACTATGTGTAATACATTTTATGAGTGGAAATAAATGAAAATAAGTGTTTGTACATTTTTTTACATTCCTTTTGTGTGTGTGTGTGTTACGGGAATGCTGCGCGCAGTCGTATCTTGATTTTATATTATACATACAGTCGAATTAAATGCCTATTCCGGGTTAGCTCAGAAGTCATACATGGCATATACTTTCAATGTTGTTTTACATACTTAGGCTTATTTTATTGAATTCAATATACAATTCTGGAAAATGATATAAAATGAATTCTGTCAATAGTACATCATAGAAAACTTAATTTGGGCTGACCTACCTTGGGAGAATAAAGTGCAGAAGAATCATTCGATGATCGGAAATACTCTGTATATCTTTTTACAATGAACCGGCGCGAATTCGTCGCGAGTCGAATTCATTGTCCATGTCAATATCTTACTTTCTAATTCATATAAATTGCTAGGCAATAAAGATTTGTTTAGTTATGTTTGTTTATAATAAAATGGACAAGAAACTTGCATCAGCACAACACATGGAACGTAGTAGGCCTATGCTTAATATCAATTTCAGAGACCATAAAACTAACAAGGGTGAGAAACCAAACAAACTTACAATAAAAATAATAAAAAGGAAATGGACATGGACAGGTCACATTAGCTGAAGATTAGACAATGTACAATACTGACAGTTTGGACTCCAATGGCCGGTTGAAAGAAACAAAGTACAAGAGCGGAAACTTTGGAGAGACGAGCAATTGGAGATGTACCAACCAGGGAGATGTAAACCGACCATGGCTGAATATACGATGATGATAATAAACAATACTGTATGGATTTTTCTCGAAAGCCGTTTTCAATTTTTTTAAAATGATTATGTTTATGATTATATTCATCATTTATGGTGTGATAATCCTTATAAAGCTCTAAAGTGTCCGGAAGTTGTTTGAGATGGATATTGTATTAAGATGAATGAGTGAACTGGTATGAAACATGGAGGGCTAATTACAGACAACAGTATGATGATGCAAATGGCTTCAAATACAAACTATTTTGGAGAACAACTGACTGAATTAAATTAATGAGACAATGTTGATAATATCTACATTGAGTTTAGGCCTACGTTTTATTATTTTCCTTATAGTTGTATTGTGTTCCTTTATTGGTATTTTAAGTTTCAGTATGGTTTTGTATGATTTGAGCACATTGTGGTTTTTATTTTATGGGAGTACTGTATATATTTCATTTATTTATTTCGCCTCAAAAAAGTTCCTGGGACTTGGCGATCCAGAAGTCCCAACATTAAAATAACAAAGAATAAAAGACAATACAAGAAAAAAAATATCACAAAAAGGTGTAATGCAAAAAGACTACAATATTAAATCGACCATAAAGTTCTTTGAAACTTATTTTAAACAAAAAGTCTGGAGAGTGCAAGGAATGGAAATATATTCGTCGAGTTGCCCGTTGCCTTTGACAGCCACGTTGTGCTAAGATCGGTAATCTGACTTGTGTGATTGACGTAAGGTAGGAGTCGATCTTGAATGGATTAAGCCTTTCATGGACACGTGAATAATATATATGTTAAAGACAAGTAGGATTTGTATATATTGATGTTTTCATTACTTAGCAACAGTGGTATGAGTAGGGAAGCTACAAAAAAATGAAAACTTGGTAGCTTGCCGATTCTTAATTGGTTGAGGATACGGAAGTACGTTTACACCTTTCCTCACATCTTCTGTATACTGCTTAAATTTTATGTCACATCTGGCCTGTACGACTGGCTCTATTTAGCCCTACAGATTTGGGTAAGCTGATAAACAAAATACTTCCGGATCAAATACAAATTTATTTGGGCAATCCGTGTCGTTACAGAACATGAAGGGTTACAAATTGATACAAGTAATTAAACGTTAGTAATTTGATTGTTGTTAACTATACCTCTTAGGTATGTTGACTTGGGTACCACTGTGTTAATTCTTTGTGGAGCTATTTTTAACAAGGTTTTAAATAAAATCAGCATGTTATAAATTTTATCCTATTAAATCATATCAAAAGTTTTAACTAATACCATATATTTAGTCTAATAAACCTTTTTTAAAATAAATAATAAAACCTAGAATAATTGTTGAGATTTTCCTAAACAGTCCTGATTAAGTCGATTTTTTAACAAAAAAGTGAAACTATAAATATCATTAAGCTCATGAAATAACAAAACCATGGCTGTTAATATGAACACCATCCATTTAAGCATGCTATATTTGTTGCTGAACCATTTTTAACCTTTATTTTTTTTAATCCAGTTTATTGAATCTTAGCAGAAATGTATGTGGATTGAATTGGCACAAACTGCCATCCTATACATAATTCTGTCGAATAAATTTCTGAAATTGCTAGTCAAAGATTTGGTGGAATTTGGAAATAAATTCCGCTGTGTGTACAGCTTCTGCATTAATCTTTCCGAGAGAACACAAGTCAATACACTAGCGGCAGATGCGGATTCAGTACAGAGTGCATGTGCCCTCAATCCTGTTTTGCCACTAAATTAAAAAATTTCAAATGTATATAAATGTTATGAATTGAAATTAGTGCTACTCACTTATACAGTATATTCTGAAAATATTTATGGGCCCCCCCCCCCTTTTGAAAAATTATGGATCCACCCCTGAGCGGCAACACAGTGTCTTAGGACCTGGGTCGCAAGACACACCCTCATTAGTGAAAATGGAGGAAATTCTATGTGTCTGTCCGTTAATTTTTGCGCAATTCTGAGATATAATTTTCATTAGACAACATAATTCCAATTTATTTTATTACCATCGATAATCAATTGTGGCCATTGGAATTATTATTCAATATAAGACCGAGTAATATATTTACTACTTATTAAGTTTTTTAGGCTAATTATTTTATATTTATTCATATATTTTTAAGTTATTAACTATGAAAGTCAATTAATTCATGTCAAAATTAATGAAACAAAATGTTGAAATATATATATAATATATACCTATTTTTTTAAAAACACCAGTGCAGCATTTTAACTCTCTCTATACTTCAGGAAATTATATAATGCCAACTGGTGACATTGTTTATATTTTGTGTTGCCATTTATTGCACAGCAACATCCACCACCCTATATCGCAATACGTGATGCAAGTTTAGCATAGTTGTTTTTTTTCATATCCCGACGTACACAGGACCCCATTTTTTGTATTCCCACCATGCATTTCGGTGCTACGGTTCTTTTATGCGGAGAGTTCTATCTCATGTTTCTAGTATCTTTCCTGAAATATACAAATCAGGCAATTTAAACATTGAATTCTATTTTTTATTTCTTTTTTTATAGCAAAGAAGAGACAATATATCTCAATACTTACACTGAATTATAATACAATAAAATGTTCTTCTATTTTTTTCCTAAACTCTTTTAACTGTTATCTTCTTCCATCAATTTATCTAACTTTTCCTTTACATCTGGTGGAATATCAACTTTGTTTAAGTTCTCCATTCCTTCCTCTGGTTCATCCCCAATTAACAACTGGACTAAATGTTCAATTGTGATACCAACTTCTTTGTCATCTTCCGATTTATGCAGTTCTCTTATTATCACATAAGTTCTTTTACCTTTCACAATCTGCCTGCCTTCTTTTGTAGAGCATAACTGCTGTCTCTTATACACATCTAGATGTGTATAAGAGACAGGTCGACATGAAATGCGTTTGCTTCAGGTACATCGACATATCATGCAAGATATAGGCCTACCTATCAATGTTTGTAAATACGTTAGACCTGGTGCAGGATTCAGAAATCCGGAATCTCGCGTTTGGTGCTCTTAGCAGTGGCGGCGCCGGGGGAGGGGGCGGAGGCGGCTTAAGCCCCCACCGGACAGAGCTTTTAACAAGGTTTTTAATAAAATCAACATGTTATAAACATGATCCTATTAAATCATATCAAAACTAATACCATATATTTAGTCTAATGAACCTTTTTTACAATAAATAATAAAACCTGGAAAAAAAAAAAAAAAGAAGCCCCATGGGCTTATCTCGAGAAGAAGCTCATCTCGAAAAGAAACATATACAAAAAAGAAGCCTGTGGCTTCTATTCGAGGTTTTATGGAATTACAATATACTGGTACTGTATATACAATGTACATCTTTTAGTTTATAAAATTGAATAATGAAAGATAAACTGTACGTTGTCAAATCTGAAACCGCAGAAAAAATAATTTAAAAACTAAATTGATTATATAATTGGATGAAATAAGTTAAAAACTTAATAATTTATTGATTTATACACTTTTTACTACAAAATCTCTGTAATTTATGGGGAGGGGGCTGCAGGCTCAAGTTTTGGAAAGTCAAAAAAAAAAGGAAAAAATAATTTATTGCCCAAAATGCCTCAGAGGTTATTTTTAAAACATTTTCTTCGTTTTCGTCTACCACTTAGGTCTTTCTATCAATGGTAAATCTAGGAATTCATCTTGTCCACAGCACAGTTCTGATTGCCATGGGGCACCATCGTTTTGCTGCACATTACCTGCTTCAAAGACGCCCTGAACCATTTGGTTAAATTTGTGACTTCCCCCATTCCTAATTATTGAGATTTTTCTAAACAGTCCTTATTAAGTCGATTTTTTAACATAAAAGTGAAATTATAATTATCATTAAGCTCATGACATAAAAAAAACCATGGCTGTTAATACAAACACCATCCATTTAAGCATGCTTATTGTTGCTGAACCATTTTTAACCTTTATTTTTTTTAAACCAGTTTATTGAATCTTAGCAGAAATGTATGTGGATTGAATTGGCAGTAACTGCCATCCTATACATAATTCTGTCGAATAAATTTCTGAAATTGCTAGTCAAAGATTTGGTGGAATTTGGAAATAAATTCCGCTTTGTGTACAGCTTCTGCATTAATCTTTCCAAGAGAGCACAAGTCAATACACTAGCGGCAGACGCAGATTCAGTACGGAGTGCATGTGCCCTCAATCCCGTTTTGCCACTAAATTAAAACATTTCAATGTATATCAATGTTATGTATTGAAATTAGTGCTACTCACTTATACAGTATATTCTGAAAATATTGATGCCTCCCCCCTCCCGTTTCAAAAATTATGCTATGTGTTTGTCCATTAATTTCGGCGCAATTCTGAGACATAATTTTCAGTCATTAGACAGCATACTTCCAATTTATTTCATTACCATCGATAATCAATTGTGGCCCTTGAAATTATTATTTAATATAAGACCGAGTAATATATTTACTGCTTAATAAGTTTTTAGGCTAATTATTTTATAATATTTATTCATATATTTTTAAGTTCTTAACTACGAAAGTCAATTAATTCATGTCAAAATTAATGAAACAAAATGTTGAAATATATTTATAATATATAGCTATTTTTTTTAAACTTCAGTGCAGTATTTTAACTCTCTCTATACTTCAGGAAATTATATAATGCCAACTGGTGATATTTTTTATATTTTGTGTTGCCATTTATTGCACAGCAACATCCACCACCCTTTATCACAATACGTGATGCAAGTTTAGCATAGTTGTTTTTTTTCATATCCCGACGTACACAGGACCCCATTTTTTGTATTCCCACCATGCATTTCGGTGCTACGGTTCTTTTATGCGGAGAGTTCTATCTCATGTTTCTAGTATCTTTCCTGAAATATACAAATCAGGCAATTTAAACATTGAATTCTATTTTTTATTTCTTTTTTTTATAGTAAAAGAAGAGACAATATATCTCAATACTTACACTGAATTATAATACAATAAAATGTTGTTCTATTTTTTTCCTAAACTCTTTTAACTGTTATCTTCTTCCATCAATTTATCTAGCTTTTCCTTTACATCTGGTGGAATATCAACTTTGTTTAAGTTCTCCATTCCTTCCTCTGGTTCATCCCCAATTAACAACTGGACTAAATGTTCAATTGTGATACCAACTTCTTTGTCATCTTCTGATTTATGCAGTTCTCTTATTATCACATAAGTTCTTTTACCTTTCACAATCTGCCTGCCTTCTTTTGTAGAGCATAACTGTGAAAAGAGAAAACAGTACCATATTTAGTAAATTTATTTATTATTAGTTTTTTTTTATTATTAGAAACAGGATCATCATCATCATCATTGGCACCATCAGTCTGGGGTTCACATCAACTGCAACACTAGCAATCATCTGTCAAGTTGAATTTCAGTGCATATGCTTGTTGGTGGCTAAACAACCCAATTCTTGAGGTGCAATTGTGCCGACAGTATGAGCAAGTGAAAGATACATGGAAACATTCTGAGCAGGCCTGTGATTTACATTTTTCTCTCCTTGAATTACATTCTTCTCTAAGTACAGTTTTCTTCAGAACAATTAAAGTTAAAGTTTTATTACCAACAATTTAGAATGTTAGTACTGTACAATACTTAATTTTCGTATAGGAATTCATACAGTATAGTAGGCCCTAAAATTTGGTACAGTACTTAACTGCTCGAAATCCCTTGGATACATACTTACACTTGTGTGTACTTTGTGGGACATGCACCTCCTATTCTGGACTCATTGGTCAGTTTGTCACTCACATCAGAAACTAACAGAATCAAAGTAGATTGTGTTTGTTCGTTAAAACAAAGAAAGCGCTTGAAAGTGTGTATTGGTAGTCATCAACTTTGTATTCTTTACCACATAAAAAGGCTGTAACAACAACAGCATGTTTTTTTACCCGCTTTTTTGCTTTCATGAACTAACACCATGTACTTTCATGTATAAGTTTGTGATGAGAGTGACTGGTTGATAAGTTTTATTTACACTATGGAAAGGTTCATTAACAGTGGCAGACTTAAGGAAAATGCACCCCAGCCGGCTTGGCCCCCTACATTTTTCAACATTGTAAAAATTTGGAGAAAAAAAGAAAACTATATTCAAATTGTAAGAGTGCCATTGCTGGCCATCTAGAGGTGCCATAATTGTTAATTTTCTTTCCCCAACCATGGTGGGGCTGAGGGGGACAGACCCTTCATCTGTCAAAAGTCCCTTTCTGGGCTCCCTTTTTTTTAAAATTCCTACTGTAGATCAGCTACTGATTAATTCAAACAACCCATATTATATGGTTATGATATGACATGATATCACATCCATTTACCTGACATATAGATTCTATTAACATCTTTCTAATGTTGGGATTGGGTTCGCGCTTTTTATCTTCACCGAGGTACTGTAGGTCATCAGGCATGCCTTCCATCTCTTCTTCGCTTATTTCCTCCGGTCCAGCCAATGGGAGAAGCAGATGAGGAAGGATGTCAACTTTGTCACTTAACAACCATTCATGGTCATCTGAAATGTAAATAAATTGTAATGTTATATATTTTCTATTAAATAAATGTAATTATGTAAATCATATGTACTGTACTCCCCTATTTTTAAAATTATAATCCATATTAAATGGTGACATTTATATTGTATTATAACTTCTTTGTAAAATACAATAACATTTGTGAGTTGTACTGTATGTCACATGCTAATAAATCTTTTAAATATAAATATTTGAGCTGATTTGTTTACATGTGATTAGGCTAAATTATTATGGTAATGATTATTATTACTATTATTATTATAGTTAATAGTATTTATTACTTTTGAAGCAGATTTTTGAACTTTTTTAAAAATTTGTAATAATTATAAATTTATTATTTTCTTTATATTATAATAATGCCACACACCAGTTTCAAAACAGCAATTTCTAAGGGCTCCCACAACTCCTCCCCTCCTCATCTCTGATGCCTCATACTCGGTATAAGGAACAAGTCGCTGAACAACACACATATTTCTATCCAATATAAACTTCCTTCCTTCTCTCACTTGAGTAATGTTTGACAAAAAAAGCCCCAAGTGGTCTAGATTGTTTCCTTTTTTGTTGTAATTCCTTTGACAAAATACTTCAACAATCTTCGCTAGCTTCACAGAGCATTGATCAGAGTCAATGAGCTCAATAAATTTCCGACAGCAAAATGAATTGCGAGTCAGATTTGCAACAAGCATACAAACAGTGTCAGCATTATTGCTCTCCTCATCTACAATATATTCCAGTAGAGACGGAACAATGCAGTAGTTGGTGATCATCATGTTTGTGAATATATCGTCTGCTGACAAACTTAAAAGAGTTATGTAGGAATCCTTGACAATTGACGACGTGGTGTCTTTAGTAAGGCTGAATAGGCACTCGATATATCGTTTATCGGATGCTAACTCTGCTTTTCCTTCAGCAGAACCGGTCAGCCCCAGGACATAATCAAGAGCAAATGCCTTCACATCAATTCTCGCAGATGGAGATAGAAATTTAAAGAATTCCTCAAGCTCAGTTTTATTCATTTTTGACAGAGTGGGCTTTTCACTGGCCATTTTCCTGTAAATTATAAAGATCAATTGATGTTAATTTTGTTTAAGTTACTTATATTTTGAAATTGTTTGCTTTCATTATTTACAACCCTTGCACTACACTACACAGTATGGAAAGTAATACATGTTGGCATTTGATTTCACACGTAATAAAAATGACACAGACTATGATATGATGAAGTACAGTATTTTGTTTTCAAAAGTACAACCCTGACACAGTAATATAAACCAGTGGCGTCGAGAGCCAGTAA